CAGTGCAGGTAAGAGAAGCTCATATCATATTCGGTTGGTTAAGATATTTGCCATTCCCAGTACTGAGCAAACTTACCGATTCATAAGCCGCTAGGTCGCCAATCTTCGGTTTGGACTCATCTCGCTTTGGCGACATCTCGGGGAAGGAAATAGAGAGCTCATCTTCAGTTGTCCATGTCGATGTCGATATGCACTGATCTCCCTTTGGCAACGCCTAGGGAGAGCAAAAACGAACACATAAAAGTTACCGAGTTATCTTTATAACCCGTTGTATATTTAATTTTAAGATTAATGGGCAAACAGCAACAACCACAAACAAAGAATCATATCATACAGTACTAAAAGAATATTTCAAAAAATCGAAAAGAGAGCAGCATGGCATTACTTGGAGCACTTCCATTCATTCAAAGCCCTCTCCCAATTAGTGGGAGGACTCTTCATATTTAAATGACCTTGCAATATAATCTACATAGAGGGGAACATAAGAATATAGAACCTCTTACATACCGGTTCAGCGGCAACAAAGTCTTGAAATATCTCCCTCGCTTCGGCGGGGGGCAAATCAAGAAATCCAACTTGAGGCGAAGGCGTCCAATTGATCAAAGAACTCACCCAATCAATGGGAGCCTTGATGGTCTCTAAGTAGAGTTTAAGTGCACCTTTTTTAAAACGGAAGTTGCATTTGAAAGTTGTTAAGTTTTTCAAAGAAGCAACCTGTGATATAATATTTTTAGCATCATCACACCATCGCTCTAGGGATGTCACTTCAATGGTCAATTCTTCTAACCAGTGAAGCTTTGAAACTCCAAGCCAATTACTGCTTTCAATGTATGAGATTCTCAGGCACCGCAAACTGTTCAAGGGTGGCACAAAATCTACCTTGGTATCTCGAATGTCAAATACCTCAAGATGTTTGAGTGCTTGGATGTCCTTTGGAAATATTTTTAAGCCTGAACAACGATTTATATAGAACACCTTAAGGCTGGTTAACCCTGACAAAGATGGCAACTTGCTTATTTTAGTACCAGCCAAGTTCAACACAAGAAGGCTGCCCATGCTCTGAAAAAAGTCAAATGGGATTTGATCCAATGCCAGACTCTTTTGTAGCAATAGTGTCTGAAGACTCCCATAATTTTCGTTTGCTGGTAGACTATCCCTTTTACTGCCAACCATAGAAACCCATTTAGCACGCTGCCATGATTCTGATCTACGGTCCTTCCCATCTTCCTCATTATCAACGTATGTTTTACATTCTGAATTTGGATCATTGGATGATATATGTAAAGCAAGTTGCCTACAGAGATCATTCATTTTTACATACCTCATTTGTTCCCCTTCCTCCAACAATGCCACATTAATAAGGTGCCTCAATTTCTTAATACCTTGGCTGCGAATTTCACTGTACTTAGTATCCGCAACATCACTAAGAAAGCCCTGAGCTATACAACACTCCAAAAAGTAATCTGTGCTTATCTCACTGTTTGCAGGATATAGTGAAGCATAAAGAAAGCATTTTTGTGTACTTCGATCACCCAACTGTTTATAGCAAATTTGCAAGATTGAGTATAACTCTTCTAAACCATCAACTTCAACTTGAGGCCAAGGCTTGCGTTCTTTCAAAACCCTCTCCCAATTAAGGGGAGATTCTTGATATATAAAAGACTTTGCTAAAGGAGCTATGAGGAGGGGAAGACAACAACAGAACCTATCACATAATTGTTTAGCGTCTGGTGGTAAAGCCTTGCCAAAAATGTTTCGAAACATATCCTGTGCTTCTTCAGGGGTTAACCTTTTGACCACAACTTTGCTGTCAACATATTTTGAATTCCAAGCAAGAGGAAAATAAGTGGTTATTACTATCTTACTATCTCTATGTGCTGAAATATCCAACTTTTCCCAAATCCCATTGGGTGCGCGCCTTACACCATCTAAAATTAGCAAATATCTTTTGTCCTGAAGCACTCTCTGTATTTTTCGAGCAACTTCACATTCGTCACCTTCTTTATTCACCTTTATTCGATATGCAATTTTCTGCAGAATGTGAAGGTCTTCAATCTGCTTATGAGATGGCAATTTGATGAAAATCACCACATCAAACAATCTGTCATTGCTCTTATAGAAATGGTTATTTAAGTTTTGCATGATTGTTGTTTTCCCCACCCCTTTTTCTCCATGAAGTGCCACGCATCTTGCTCCATCATTGTGCAACAAAGTCAGAATCTCCTGGAAGGCATTCTGAAGAGTCGGATACCCCACAATTAATGGAACACCAGGCTCCTCAATGACCCGCTCTGGCAGCTTAATTATAATCTCCTTCGGAAAATTTTCAATAATTCCGATTACTTCTTTGAATACCTTTTTCATCTTGTATTTGAGATTTTCACGACTCAAAAATTTCAGCTTCTTTTTCCTCACGTTTTCATATTCTTCATTCCAGTAAGTCACTTTTTTCTCAACATATGATATGCGGTTCCTCCAATACTGGTAAACATTAGACGTATCTTTCTGCATACTGCTCGAAACTTCATTGTCTTTGTCCCTTAGTAAAGCAAGTAGCAGCTGCATTCCATTACTTAGCGCTTCTTGCATCTCATCAAGCGAACCTTTTTCCATTTTGGAATTTAATTCCTGAAGCAGAAAATTCGGATCAGATGCCCCCACTGCAGTTGCAGACGCGATAATTCTGGCGTTTTCCGCAGCCATTGAGGAACCTCAAAAACCTGGCGGGAAACAGTTCAAGAAATGTTAGCGAGATTATTATATATTAATGAAACAATTTTGATAGCTAGAATCATTCATTTTAAGATTCTTTAAAACTATCTTATTAAGACATCAATCATGCATCTTGTATTGGCTGACTGCTTGACTCATCACCTTGTTCACGTTTTATCCTACAAATTTGTTCGAATCTTAACTTACTTGGTGTTATTATTGTTTTCTTAAAAGTGATTCAGCATGCAATAATCACACCTTTTTGCTTGAAGCAAGTTGCCTGATTGAATTTATCTTGGTGGAGTTGATGTTTCTTCAGGCAAAACAATATTATTTGCTTAATTAAAAAAAACAGTAAAATATACTAAAACCACATTCTTGCTTTATCTAAATGACAAAACTTTTTATCTATTTTGAAAACATATATGAATCTCCTTTGAAATTAAAATGTAGGTTAGCCAAATCTCATTTATATAATCAAAAATCCATTTTCATCCACCTAAACATTTACTTAGACGTTAAATTTGACTTTTCAACAATTTTTTTTACCAAAATACCCCTCTTACTTAAACATTTTCAAAATATAGTTTTTATAAAACATAGAAATGATTCTAATACATATATTTTCAAACTTTCTAATATGTTATAAAATTTATTAATTTTACATATATTATAAAATTTTATAATTTTAATTTTTCTTCACACTTATTGAAATTTACTTCTTTAAGTTCCTTTTAAATTATTAAAAACATATTTCAAATGTGGATTTTTTTTATCATATAGTATAAATGATATAAGTTTTAGAGATTATATAAATCATATGAATTTTTTATTTAAAATTTTTAAATACATTTTTTGCTATATTTATGAACATATTTAGTCAGATATATATATTTTTAATCAACCTTTTATATCTAAGTGAATTAAATTAATTAAACTTTTATCCCAATATAATTAAAAAAATAAATAACTATTTCCAAAAAATAAAATTAAAGAAAAGAAAAGGCTCTTAAATTCTTCAAAATAATTTTAGCCAAAATTAGGGATTTAATATGATTAAAAGGTAGATTAGTAAATGAAATTTATTCAAATATTTTTTTAAATATTCTTAGTGGAGTTAACAATTTGGATTTAAGTATATATTTTAAAATAGATGAGAGGTCCATGTAATTAAGAATAAATTTAAGGGGGATTAGAGTGTTTTACTCTTAAAAAATATTTGTATGAAATAACTATAATTATAATATCAAATGAAATAATAGTTTGTTGGTTTGGAATTATTAAACTTGATCATGACATAGAAAGTCTATATTCTAACCTGATATGTTTGAGGATAGATTGTCTCTAAGTCTCAAGATCTGACCTCCCCAAATGAATAACAAGCTGCAACAAATATGCACTTCATAAGTAACACAAAATTTGAACTCATATTAGAAAACTTGAATCATTAGAAGAGTCAGACATGGGCTTTTTCTAGCCCATGTCAATTATCATGCATGACCATGTGTACCATTTTGAAAATATTAGTATTTAATAGCGTTTAATTATAAACTCATAGGAAAAAAAGAAAAAGAACATATGACCAAGTGTGATTGGAAAAATTGACATAATAGATATGAGAAACTTGACCTAGGTATTTTTCTTTTATCTTAATCTCCAAATTTACTCATTTGAATGTACTTTAATTTATAATATAAGTCTATTTTGTATAATTATGATATGGATTTTATTTACATCATATATATATATTCATGTTACATTTCTCCAAAAATTTCATAGATAACATTTTCACACAATTTAAAAGTTATTTATAACAAGATTTGTAGTTTTTTTTTTTTTTTTTTTACATTGTGCCTTAACTGTATCTTATCAACAGAAAAAGAGCACGTTTAGAAGTAGAATCAAATGAAACTCCCATGACCCACAATTTTTTTGAGGGTGAAATGTGAGGATTTTCTTAGTAGACGACCTATAAGTACTTCTATAAGTGAACGCTCTGAGTCTAGACACATGCCCTAACATTGGTCAAGCCCCAGTGCTAGAATTGAAGTTTTTTTTTTTTAGCAAAACAAAATCCATATTATTAAAACGCAAAGAAATATTACACTCACTAATAGACTAGCAAAAGAAAGCAAAGAAAGCGGTAAAACCTAAAGTACAACCTACAGACAAAGAAGGGAATCCTAAGTACAACCTATAACCAAGCAAGGAAACTAACACTTAACCTACACCCTTCTTAGTGTTAGTAGAAATGTTACGGCAAGTAAGGTCCTGAAGTAAAATCCGGTTCAGAGGAGGTGGTGGCTTATCAAGCCATCCTTGCGTACCATTCTCCTCATAGCTTGTGCTGCTAAAAAGTCTGCAGCACTATTGTCCCCACGAGCTACCAAGGCTATTGACCATCTGTCTGTCTTATCCCCTAACTCTAAACACTCCTGCATCATTTCCACACACTTCCAATCGCATCCATCCAAGTTCCTACTTCTTACTCTTCTATACAGTTCCAAACAGTCTGTCTCAATTATCACCTCTCCATCACAAAATATATCTTTCATTTTCAAAGCTTCAAGTAAGGCTCTACATTCAGACATGAAAGCAGACCTTGCATCAATAATCATACCAAGGCTGCCCAAGTATCTGCCATTACTGTCTCTTCCTATCACCCCAACACCAGCAATCATGTCTTTACTACAGAAGGCCCCATCTATGTTAATTTTCACCACCCCTTTTGTTGGTCTCTCCCAAGTCAAAGATCTCTCCACCACTGCAATTGGCATCTTCCTTCTCTCCCTCTTCTTGAAACAGCCCTAATACTCATTAACCAATCTGATAGCCTGAGATTAGCAGCTCCCAGCATCTACTTCTTTTCCTTTAAACACACTACAGCATCTGGCCTTCCAGACCCCCCAATACAAGGCAGCGAAAAATGATATATTATAGTCATCAATCTCATTCTTCTTTGACAACCAGCTTTCCAACCACCTATCCAATCTTCCCATATTCTTCTCATCAAATCTCAAAGCTAGAGGGGAGCCGAACCAGCATAACTTAGCCCAGGGACACAAAAAAAGTGCATGTTCGACCGTCTCCACATTCACTTTGCAAATGCTGCATATAGGATCTCTTGCACATTTTCTTTTGTCGCCAAAGCATTACTAACTGCTCTCCACATGAACTGATTGACTTTTGGAGGCACCTTCACTTTCCAAATACTGTTCCAAACCTTCTTGGACATAGTATAGGAGCTACTGGGGGCTTCCCTTTCTTCCTTTGCTTCTTGAAGTTTGGCAATTTTGTAACCTCTCTTGACCGAATATATTCCATCTCTGCTCCCCAACCAAGTATACTTATCTTCCCCCTCAACCACTGGAATTTTCACCTTTAGAATAGCTACTCGGTCTTCCTCATCCAATAAGTCTTCAAACCCATCAAAATTCCAATTCCTATTGGAAATAATGTCTTTTACCTTCAGCTTTTTCATTTCCTTAGTCAGATTTCTTTGCTTAAGACAGAAACCTTCCTCCTCGGTCAACCATTTTCCTTCAAACAGACTTATCTTATCTCCTTTATTAACTCTCCTAATTAGATCCCTTTGCAGCAACTCCCTTCCTTCCAGAATGCTCGACCAACCCCAAGAGGCTTTACTACCCTTTCTAGCTTGCAAAAAATCAGCATTTGAAAAATATAAGCCTTTGAGGATCCTGCTCCACATCTCATCAGGATTCTGACAAAGCCGCCATGTAGTCTTTGCTAACAAGGCTTTATTCATCTTCATAAAATCTCCAAATCCCACTTCCCCCTTATCCCTACACATAGTTTTCCAAGACCTCCAGTGAATTCTTCCTTCCCCATTCTTTTGTCCCCACCAAAAGCCAGAAACCATCTGATCAAGCTCTTTACAGGTCTTTTTGGGAAAACTAAAGCAAGACATAGGGTAAATTGGTATTGCATTCGCTACTGCTTTGATCATGACCTCACTTCCAGCAAAAGTCAACAATTTCTACTTCCATCCTTGTAGCTTAAGGCTCAGTTTGTTCTTCACAAAAGTCAAAGCCTCAGACTTAGACTTACCCCACAAGACAGGAAGGCCAAGCTACTTTCCAGGTTCGGTTGTATCCATAATTCCCATAATCTCAAACACCTCCTGCTTCACCTCTTCTACTATATTCTTTGAGAAGAAGATACATGACTTATCCAAATTCACTGGTTGACCCGATGCTTTGCAATAGCTATCCAGAATTTCCCTCAAGATATCACAATTCCTTCTTTTAGCATTGACAAAAAACACCGAGTCATCTGCAAAGAAGCAATGAGATAGTATAGGACATTTGTTAGCTAGCCTAATTCCTTTCAGTTTCCCATTATCAACATAAGCATCAACCATGGCAGACAGAACATAAGAAGCAATTATGAAGAGAAAAGGTGAAAGTGGATCCCCCCAGCGTACCCCTCTTTCCATATTTAAATCAGCAATCTTGTGTCCTCCTACTACCAAACTCAATTGAACTGATCTCACACATTCCATAATCTAAGACAACCACCTTTCTCGGAAGCCCATCTCCCTTATAACCGCCTCAATGAAGTCCCATTCAAGCCTATCATAGGCTTTATTCATATCGATCTTTACAGCCATTTCAAACTTCCTTCCCTTTTTTTTTTATTTTTCAAATAATGGTAAGCCTCAGGAGCTACCAAAATATTGTCTTGTGTAAGCCTCCCAGCAATAAAAGCTCTTTGATTTCCTGATATAATTCTAGCCAGCAACTGTCTCATTCTATTTGCCAGAATCTTAGAAATGACTTTATAAGCAAAGTTGCAAAGACTATGGGCCTATACTGTCCCACATTCTCAGCATTATCTACTTTGGGAATTAGTACCACATTAGTCTTGTTAATCGCTGCTAGCTTTGCATTATTATTAAAGAAATCAAAGACCATCTCCCCTACCTCCTTACTAACTTCTGACCAAGCCAACTGATAAAACATGCCAGAGTAACCATCTGGTCCAGGGGCTTTAGATCCCCCAAGTTGGAATACCGCTCCTCCATTGTCACAAGTTTCTCAAGCTGCACATTATCTTTTGTAGTTACTTGTTTCTTAACAAATTTCATAACCTTCTCTAAATCCCTACATCCCCCCGAGGCAAACAAAGTGCTATAGTACTTGGTAAAAGAACTATTAATCTCTTCCTCCTTCTCCAGCAACGTGTTCCCCTCTCCTCTCAATTTAATCACTTTGTTTCTTGTACGCCTCTGGATCGTGCTAGAGTGAAAGAAACGTGTATTCTTGTCACCAGCTTCCAACCACTTTATCCTCGATCTCTGCCACCAATACACCTCCTCCCTATCCCAAGCTTCTTCCATTTTCATTATTATTTCTTGAATTTTCAATTTCTTCTCAGCAGTCAAAAGTCCACTTCTGCAGATACTCAATTCCTTGTTTAACTTGTCAATGGAAGTCCTTGCATTTGGAAAGGTCTGCTTACCCCATTTCAGTAAATCATCTTTACAATTTTCTAGTCTGTGTATAAACTCCTCTACTTTATTCCCTTCCATTTACCACTTTTTGCCATCCTTCCCTTACTACTTTCAGAAAATCTTCATGTTCAATCCAGAATGCTTCAAACCTGAAAGCTTTAGGGACCCTTGAATGCTTATATTCACATTCAACACGAAGCACATGGTGATCAGATCCCACAGGTTCGATATGGATGACTAGTGCATTCTGAAATTTCTCTCTGAATTCCACATTTGCCGTAGCCCTGTCTATTCTTTCTTTCACATAAGCCTCCCCCAATCTTTTATAGTTCCAGGTATAAGGCGCCCCATTGAAATTCAGGTCAATCAACCCACAATTAGATAGCATTCTCTGAAAATTTAACGTTTTTCTCAGATCAATAGGTCTGCTGCCAAACTTTTCAAAACAAGGGACCATATCATTAAAGTCTCCCACGCACAGCCAAGATCCTGTTACTCCCCTTGCAATACGTCTCAAGTCTTCCCACACCTTCTCATTATCTTCATCTCTAGAGGCACCATAAACATACATAACAAAGTCAGGGACATCTAGCACTGTGGAGTTCATGCATGTGTGAATTATATTGCGTGAACTATGCCAGACGTTTATCACAACTTTTTTCCACCATAAACCCATCCCACCACTTCTAACTACTGGTTCCACATACCATTCCTCATCCATCCCACACTTCTTTTTCACATCTTTCATTTTTCTACTCTTCATTCTTGTTTCCATAGGGAAGATAACTGAGGGCTTTCTTCTAATATTTTCTTCCCTCAGTTTTTTGACTGTCAAGGCTCTCCCAAGACCTTAACAATTCCATGTGATGAAATTCATTGCCCCTTGGTGGCTATTAAAGGCCAGCCACCTTCACCTTCAGCAATGACACATGATTCACTTCTGTCCTCCTCCAATGTATCTTGTACTTCTCTTCTTACCATTTCCCCCAACTTTCCCCTACCATCCTTCCCCTTCCTAGCCCTTCTTTTTAACAATCTGACACTCTTTCTGGTTATTGTTTTTTGACTCTCCTGTTTGTTCAACCCAAAATCATTAGCAGAATTGTTGAAAAATAGCCTTCTTCTCTTCATATTCAACTGCTCTACTCCTTCTTCAAGCACTCTCTTCAGTTTGATCCTTCTTAGACCAATAGCCACTTCAGAAATAGGTGAGAGTTTGTCAAATACTACAATTGCCTTTGACAAATCCTCCTTCAGCTTGGGAGATCCATCAATCGACATATTTATCACTTCAATTTCCTTCATACTAGAGAGGTTCCTAACATTCTCGTTGTCCACCCCTTCACTTACATCAATCTTCTTTTGTGTCTTGTGTCTGTACATCAGAACTTCCTTCCCCTTTAGTTTTCTTTCCTTCTCTAGGATCAACCTTCATCTGTTCATCAATCTTACCACTCTTCAGGTCATCTTGCCCCTTTAAGATTCTGTTTGCCAGTTTCTTTAACTCTTCTTCCACATTTCTTCCACACTTCTTTTCACTCCATTCTTCCCAGTTATTATTGCAACAAACAATCTTAGCATCAATTCTCTTAGTAGCCTGAACACCTAACCAGCTTCCAAACTCCAAGTCACCATACTTTGGTTCCTCACTTCTTGGACAGCTTCTTTGATCATGTCCTAGCAATCCACAACGATAGCAAAAGTTTTGTAATCTCTCGTACCTGGCTTTGATCCACATAGGCTCCTTTCCTGGTCTGGTAGTCCACATACCAGACACCAGAGGCTTTTCTGTATCCACCAAAACTCTTGCACGTAAATAGCTACGAATCAACAAATTGCCAGACCTAGGATTCTCCACCAACATCACCTCACCTAATTCAGATCCCAGGGTTATCGCGTTCTCTACATCCATTACTTCCAGCGACAGATCATGGAATTGAATCCAAAATGGACATTTGCTGAAGTCCACTTCCTTGTAAGTCATAAACTGTTTCCATAGCTGAACGTTGAGCAGTATACCTTGGATCGACCATGGACGCCCTCGCAAGATCCTTAAGTATTCTTCCCTGCGACGGAATTTGAAGATGAATGATCGATCCTCAATTTCAATGATCTCCAGGTCCTCATGCTTCTCCAAGTTCCAGCCCTTCCTGATCATCTTGATCACGTCGGAGCATTGAAACTCTTTACTGTCATCATTCTTCCAACAAGCGCTCCACCATATAATTACCGACGGTCGCTCTTCTTCCAAACCAGCTCCACTTCCTTTCCTTTCCTTCCCCTCGCACCTCCGTCTCCACTACATTGTCCTTCTACTCCTACCTCCATACCTCACTAATTCCTCTCCGTCACAATGAGCGACAGATCGGACACTCTTTAGTCACTGTCACAGTAGGCGGCAGATCTCGCACAAAGAACGACGATAACCGTCGTAACTAACTCTCACAGAGGAGAGAGAAAAAGCTCTCACGCAGGAGAGAAAAACTACTCCCAAGTTCAACTTGAAGTTTTAAAGATGACAAATGTTTCTGGATCAAAAGATTTTTCAAGCAAGTATTTGAGTTTGGATTTTTTGTGATTGTGTTAGGTTTCTGGAAAAAAGTTATAGAGTTTGTGACAAAAACATTTTACAGAGCAATTTCACGATAAAACTTTCAAGTACCAGAATTCTCAATAATCGCTTCAAGAATTAAAAGCATTCTGTTTTGAAAACAAATATCTAATGATAAACCTTCTTCTGGTTATTCTCAATTAATTTCTCGAATATTACTCTACTCAAGCATATACTCGAGTAAAGATTTTCTTATTGAACTAATCTTTTTGAGGTGAAAACTTTCTTTCTCTGTCAAGTTACTCGACTACTCACTCAACTTATCTTTTACTCAATTATCTTCTTGAGTTTCAAGTTTCTTAGTGTCTCAAAACTTATTTATTCTTTCTAACCTCGACTATGCGCTCAAGCTGAGGATTTCCCGACTATGTGCTTGAGTACCTAGTTTAAGTTGAAGTATCTCTATAAGCTTTCTTCAGACTCTTACTCGACCATATGATTGGTTATCCGTCAACTTGATTATCAACTCGAGTCATGCCCTTCTGGTGCCGAATTTCAAACTCTCAATTCGATTACTCTCTCAAAGGTTCTGTCTTATTAAAGCTATCTTCTACTCCTTATTTGATAACTTTCTCAAGTATTCCTCTTCTCAATAAGACACTAGAGTAAAGTTGTTTTAACTGGTTTCTTTTCCTAAGTGTCTACTCAAATAAAAACTTTATCAGTCTAATTTCTTTGAGCTTTCTTTTGTATCTTTTTGAGTATATGAGCGAGTAAACATCTACATGAGTAAGCACTCGAGTATTATCTTTTTCTTCAGCTTCTTACTCAAGAAGCTACTTGAGTAAGCTTATCAATTTCTTAACTATCAAATTTCAATTTCTTGCTTCTTATTAGAAGGACTCAATATATACCTCAAGCTATTATCGTTCCACTATGTTATGAGTTTATGAAGCACTAATAACATGATTGAAGTAAGATTACCACAAGTTTAAGGACTCAACGGAAAAATGATGTTGGTTAGCAACTTTTATCATAAGCATGGAATGCAACTCAATGGATACAAGCTACCAACCTACTAGCTCCATTTCCAATGGAAACAAAGCTTTGAATGTGATGGATACTTGTTGAAGATTAACAAACTTGAGTTACCACTCTATTGCATTAATATTATTCATATTCATTGCTCTAAGAAGGCGTGGCCGGGGCACATATTTTGTTTTACGGCTTGTGCTTTTTGGCGGCTACCTGGCATTGGGTACATTGGAATCTAGAAATCTTTTGTGATGGATGTACAAGAAAACATCTTTTGGATTTGCCTAAAATTTTTGTAAAGTGTATTTCTGAGTTTCAATGATCATTTATTACTCTTAGAGAAAGAGAAATTCATTAAAGCTTCATTAAATTCTAAGATATTCAAGACTGTGGGAATCTTGAATGCTGAATAACCTTACAGGAAGTAAAAAAGAGTGATCAAGTGATAAGAGCATGTTAAATCTTGAAAACCTAACGGAAACTTAGAGGTGATTTGAGAAATAGACGTCAAGTAGTAGACCAAACTAGTATAATCTTGTTGTGTTGTATTTAGTATTTAATTTATCCTCCAGTGATATCCTAGAGATATAAGTTTAGATGAAAAATTATATAGAATGGGGGGTGGATAGAAATGGATTCTCAGTTATATAAGAGAAATTTATGCAACATACAATGATTCTCAATTATATAAGAGAAATTTATGTAACATACATTTTAATTTTAATGAATTTTTTTTTGAAAATAGGTTACAGATTTCTGTGTAATTTAACATAGAATATAGAATGGTGGTTAGTGCACGTTACTCTAAATTTTATAAATAGACTTATTAATCCTTTAAAAAATATATTTCATGAATGTTTTAAAAAAAATGAAATTTTCATTATTTTTTCTATGTTCGTGTCTTATTATTTGTCCTTTGATGTATTTTTATTCTTTTCATAATATGGAATAAAAAAATATAGTAAAGTTTAGGAGGTGTTTAGATACCCAATAATCACTTTTCAGAATCACTTTTTTGTAAATCGAGATAAATTTTTTTACATATTTACCTAATATACCGTAAAAACACTTCTGAAACTAATTTAATCTTATCCAAATACTCCCTTAATAATTTGGCCGTGGTTTAGTTGGAAACTGCAGCTACACTTTAGGGTGATATAGATCTCTTACAGCTAAAAGGATATGCATGTTAAAGGGATCCCTTACTGATTCAAATCACGTACTAAGCAGCTAGCCCCAAGTAATCATTTCCTGAGTAAAAGCATCTAGTTAACATTCATTTTTTCCTGCAAATTAAAACCCAATATCAAGCCAGCATCAACTAACATATAAACTAAAGCTCTTTCAACATCAAAATTATTAAACTCGAAAGAGAAATTAATTGAGAAAGAGTGATGGCTTGCGCATACTGAGACAGGTTGCTAGCGAAGGTCCGATTCTTGATCCCCATGAAAGCTCGTAGTGGAGATCTCTACTTCAAAGGAGACAGTCTAGCCAAATCAGAAGAAGCAATCACGTATATGAGTACTTTTGACTCCGAAATCAGAACAATGAAATTAGCTCATTTTGTACAAGTTGTGTGTGTGTGTCTATATACATATCTTACTTACCAGTAATCAAGAATTCCCATTATTTTAGTCTTCTTTCCCTTGTTAGCTTTTTCTCTATCAGAAGTGGCTTCAGGTACTTAGAATTTCCTGAGTTAAACTCATGAACTTGACATTTTTCGCAGCACCCCGTGCTTTGGTTGCAAGATTCAGAGCCATGTCTATATGAATACATACACAAGAGTCCAAAAGCTGTTTCGGTATCGACTATTATAACAACTCATAAGAGAAATTATGGAAAAACATAACCACTGCTTGACTGTAAGAATCAGAATATAAAGCAGCCTCAACGTCAAATAACTACCACAACTAAGAAGAGAAATTAATTAAAAATCAGAAAATGCAGCGATGACTTGTGATTACCCAGAATATGAGCAGAAGAGAAGCTAGCTTGCTTTTTTCCGGAGATGGTCTGAGTGTTGATTCCGATGAAAGATTTCAATTTTTGGTGAAGGTATGGGTGGAGAAGCTTCAGAGGAGGGTCTCCTTAGGTGTGAAGATGCGAGAATTGCTGTCTAAGGGTCTGTTTGGTTTGAGAGAGGGGTAGGGGAAGGGAGGGGAGGTTTCATTCTCACATTGTTTGATTTGATTAAAAAAAAGAAGGGGAGGATATTTAATGATCCTTTGTTTAGTTCAAGGAGAGGAGGGGAGGGATAGTAATAATCAATTTATCATTTTACCCTTATATATTAGTTTATGTTTTTTATTGATATATCATATAAATTAATTTACATCTTACTTTAAATCATATAATTTAACAAAAATTCAGTCTTATCATATTAATATGTGTACTAAAAAATTGGTACAGTAATCTTTATTTTAATTAATATAATAATATATTTAAAATAATCAAATTAACAAATTTTACACGCTCTAAGAAAAATGAAATTTTATTCTCTTTAGGCTATTTTTTTTTTCAGCTTTAAAATATATTTAATAAATAATATATTTATAAAAAACAATTAATTTTATAATATTATAATTTTTTATATAATAATTTTTTATAATATATTTTTAATTATAATAATGTATATATTTTTTATTTTTTACTTAGGATTATATATTTTTTATTTGAAATAAATATTATAATAATATATTTTATAGGTAGAAGTGAAATATTGAAAAAACTATAAGGGATATAATGGTTCAAAAATTTGGCTCCCCTCCAAAAACTCTCAATTTGAAGGGAAGTCAAAATGGAGAGAGGGAGAGGAGGGGAGCGGACATTTTAACTCCATTCTCCTTCAAAATTTTTAACCACATGAGGAGAGGGATTCATTTTCTCTCCCCTCCCCTACCCTCCCCTCAAACCAAACAGGCATGTTTCATCCTCACTTTGTTTGGTTTGATTAAAATATGATCATGTTTCATTTAAAGACTCATTACAAATATATTATGAAAATAAAACGTTGTGAATTTAGAATGAAAACTTATTAATAATGAAATAGAACATGTTAATTTTTAAGATTATATTATAATTCAGTCTTGTTTAAAAACTTATCACAGCTGTGGTTTGCAGATAAAACAAATAAAAGCAACAAATAAAATCCAGTAAACGACAAATGACAAATAAATTTAGGCACTCTCAATCTCAAATCTCAAAGTACTATAATAGAAAAGCGATAACAAATTTTTTTTATTACCATGAACGTAGTGCCACAAGTTTCTCAGCGAGGCCGCGAAATTGAACGTGGGTTAGGAATTTGTGAGGTGTGAATAGTTGACAATAATCGGAACGCGTGATCAATACGATTGATGATGACAGTTGTAATGATAATAAAATATTGCAAGATTGCCGATCTCAATGACGAGGAACAGCGGTGATCAAGTACGGGAAATACGAGGGAGCGTGAAAGAAAGGAGACAATAAGCTAATATTGGCAAGATTCTAAAGGTGCAGAGAGAGAGAAGCTAGAGAGAGAAGCTCCCTCTTGGAGTGTGTGCACAGTGTTCGGCCTCCGTCGTGAGAGATCCCCCGCTGCCCACTGCAGCGGAGGAGAAAGAGCGTGACACTTACCGCCCACTGTGGTAAGGAAGGTAGAAAGAGTACCTTTGTTCCATTGCTCCCCGAAGCAATGGAACAAAATATCGACATCCCACTAACTGAAAAAGGAGAAAGAACGCCACGAAGTGCCGGAGACCCCAGAACATCGAAAAAAGTTAAGATACAAGATGACGAGGAAACAAACGCTATCATGGATACTGATATTGATTTGGACGCCACTCGGCCAGCATCTCAACGGTGGGAGGGCATCCAGAAGCAACTGTTCAATGAGGAGATACCCGATAGCGCTGCATCAATACTCCCGGATAACATGGATGATGATCAAGTGCAGAAAGAACCCGACTCCTATCAGGAGACTCCCAAGCCATCCTTCAAAGACAAACTGCTCAATGAAGAGAACAACCGGGAAGACGACACGCAGAAGGAAGTAACCATCGAGCCAGGGGATGTCTCCATCGCTCTAGAAGGACTTATTCCTAATATCTCCTTCTCGCAGCGCATCAAAGACCTTCTGACGCAAAACATGAAATATGCAGTAGTCGTTAAACTCCTTGGTCGCTATATTAGGCAGGAGACACTATTTGGGAAGATCGTAAGTCTCTGGAGACCAGTAGGACACTTCAAGCTCACGGAACTCGACGGTGGATGCTTCATGGTCAAATTCAGCAACCAACAAGACTACCTTTCGGCCATGTTGGGAGGACCCTGGGTTGTACTTGGACACTACCTCACAGTACACCCATGGGAGCCCTCTTTCTCCCCTCTCAACTTAGAAATCAAGCAAGTGCTCGGATGGGTCCGTCTTCCTGGTCTGCCTTACCATTATTACCATAAAAGTGTCCTGCGGGCCATCGGAGGTGTTATTGGAGAAGTTCTGAAGATTGACTACAACACCGAGGGAGTGGACAAGGCACGCTTCGCAAGGCTTGCAGTCAAGCTAGACCTCACTAAACCGCTAGTTGCTAAGATCAAGCTCGACGGCACCACCCAGTTGGTAGAGTACGAAGGTTTGCCAACCATATGCTACCACTGCGGCCGCTACGGTCATCTTGAAGCCGTCTGCCCCTCCAAAGTACAACATAACCAGCCCCAGCAGATGCACCAGAACCCATCGGAGAACCCAGCTTCTAACTCTGATAGAACCCAGACGAACAATGGTGATCCAGCGCGTACCCACTCGGCGCGTGAGGAATCAGTCTTCGGGGCCTGGATGAAGGCCCCCTCCCGAGGGTGGCGCCCGAGCAGAGCCCCCAAAAAGCGTTCTGACGTCACTCCAAACATGGAATATGGTACCAACAGATTTGAACTCCTAGCTAGACCAGACGAAACTACGATACGCCAAGAAGGAAACCCCTCTGCTTCAATGCCACAGGAAGATGTAACCCCTGTTTATCCTGACACCCCCATTGAGAGACCCAAGGGAAACACAGCACACAAGTCAACGATCCTCCGAAACAAAAAGCCACCCAGAAATGTCAGCCCCAAGAAACCCCAGCCACCCAAGTCTGCCTCTGACACAATTTTCGACTCCCCAGCCTACACCATGTCTAACATTCAGACCTCCCTTGACCCTACCAAACACTCAGCCGTTACCTTTTCGACCCCACGTCAAACCCAAAGCCCAAATACAGAACAACCCAAAGCCCACAAAGATCACGCACCACTCAATCCTTCAATCCCAGCCCAGCTAGGAAAAGAGAACATCCTACCAAAACCGCCTGATAGAAGCCCATCCAAAGGGAAATTCAAAATCCAACCAACCTTTAAAGTCAAAAACCTGAAGCCCAGAACGAAGGAAGAGGTCGGGAACCCATCTGAAGAACTCACTAGAGCTCTAGCAGAGGCTCTGGGTGCCCACCCCCCATCAGATGACGACACCACATTCGTGGAAGCAGCAGAAACTGGATTCGAAGATGACTCAGCATCTGAACGCGCTGAGATGGATCACTAAACTTCTCATGAATCGATCCATTTTCGTTTGGAACTGCCAAGGGGCAGCCTCTGCCAAGTTTCATCGTGTTCTTAGGTCCCTCCTTCAGGGATACCACCCGGACATTGTAATCCTACTTGAGCCCAGAATCTCTGGATCAAAGGCAGACAAAGTAATTCTCAAAATGGGCTACCCAAACTCTCACAGAGTTGAAGCAATCGGTTTCTCTGGAGGAATCTGGTACATGTGGCGTGACCATATATCTGTGGAGATTCTTCTCAACCACCAACAATTCATTCACTCACGAGTCTCTGATGACTTGGGAAGCCCCCCTTTTTTATTCACAGCTATTTACGGAAGCCCAAATGCAACACTGCGGAAATGTTTGTGGAGAGACTTATCACAAATACAGATGAACGGAACCGAGGAATGGCTACTCGCTGGGGACTTCAACACCACGAAATCTCCTGATGAGCGTAAAGGCGGAGCACACCGCCTGTACTCATCCTCAAACGGTTTCAACTCCTTCATCCACGATATGGGACTGTTAGACTTGGGTTTCTCCGGCCCTAAGTTCACTTGGAAAAGAGGTAATCTCTTGGTGCGCTTGGATAGAGCCCTGGCAAATAAACATTGGGTCACTCATAGGCCCAACGCTCTCGTCATGCACCTACCTCGCATGCAAAGCGATCATAGACCCCTTCTCATCAAGACCCACACGGCAGGACAACAAACTAAAGTCTTCCGCTTTTTAGCAGCATGGACCATGCACCCAACCTTTAACAATCTAGTTTCAACCAATTGGTCCAACTCCAGTACCATTGCCGACAATATTCATAGGTTTGTCACTGCAGCCCAAACTTGGAATGAAAAAGTCTTTGGGAGTATTGGAAGAAGAAAAAATAACATCAGAGCCCAGCTATCCAAAGTTCAACGCCTGCTAGAGCGTCACCATCTCTCCACCCACCTTATTGATGCAGAGAGAGCATTGATGACAGAGTATGAAGACATATTGTTGCAGGAAGAAACCCTCTGGCTCCAGAAGTCCCGAAGCATTTGGATTAGTGATGGGGATAGAAACACCCATTTTTATCATACAAAAGCTCTAACGCGCAGGCGGCGAAAGAGGATCATGATGCTCAAGGCAGAGAATGGTAATTGGGAAGCAGACCAAGATAAACTAAGCTCCATGGCCAGAAACTACTTCCTGTCGCTCTACACAATTGAAAGGAATGACACTGTGAGCTACACTTACTCAGGCCTCTTCCCACCTCTAAGCAGTCAAATGCGTTCTTATCTTGCCTCTCCGATTTCTTTAATGGAGACAAAGAAAGCTTTATGGGACATGGACCCCCTCAAATCTCCTGGCATAGATGGCCTCCACGCCTTCTTCTTTCAATCACAGTGGGAGACAGTCGGACATTCCATCTTCCAAGAAGTAAAGGCTATCTTTGATGGAGGGGAAATAGATCCAAGACTTAACCAGACCCTGATTTCTCTAATCCCGAAAACTGACAACCCCCAGACTTTGAGAGAATTCCGACCCATCAGCTTGTGCACCACGATATATAAGATCATCACCAAAATCATCGCAAACAGGCTCAAGCATGCAATGCCCCATCTCTCGCTGCCTTTCCAGTCGAGCTTCATCCAGGGAAGAAGCATTACAGACAACGTTATTATCGCCCAAGAAGCAATTCACTCAATGCGCAGAAAGACAGGGAAAGAAGGATGGATGGCAATCAAAGTCGACCTCGAAAAAGCTTTCGACCGCCTAAAATGGGATTTCATATCAAATACTCTCCAAGATGCAGGCCTGCCAGATTACTTAACCCAAGTCATCATGAAATGCATTAACTCAGCCTCAATGCAAGTACTTTGGAATGGAAAGCCATCTGAACCCTTCCTACCCCAGCGCGGAGTCAGGCAAGGAGATCCATTATCTCCCTATATCTTTGTATTGTGCATGGAACGGCTATCCCAAGCAATCAATCAAGAAGTTAGCAGTAGAAATTGGAAACCAATCAAAATGGGAAGAAATGGCCCTGCACTCTCCCACCTATTTTTCGCGGATGACTTAATCCTCTTCGGCAGCACAACGGAGCAACAAATCAATCTGACCCAACGAATGCTAGAGGAATTTTGCCAAGCTTCAGGACAAAGAGTCAACGAAGCAAAAACGAGAATATTTTTCTCAAAAAATGTCCGAGCCCAAGATGCCATCTCAATTTGTCGAAAACTAGGATTTCAGAAAACTGACCAGCTGGGGAGATATCTAGGAGTCCCTTTACTCCACGGCAGAGTAACTAAAGATACCTACCACTACATCGAGGAAAGAATACAGGCAAAGCTGACCGGATGGAAAGCGAGAACCCTCTCTTTGGCGGGGAGGTTGACTTTGACCCAGTCAGTCTTGTCCACAATTCCCTTCTTCACAATGCAAACAACCCGCATCCCAGCATCAACCATTGCAAGAATCCAGAGTCACATAAGAAAGTTTGTTTGGGGCTCTACTGCGCAACAGCGAAGCATCAGTCTAGTCAACTGGAATACCATGTGCCAGCCAAAGGAATGCGGAGGCAGCGGATTAGTCGATCTTACGGGTCAAAATTCTGCTTTCCTTATGAAAATAGCCCATGCAGTTCGAACACAACCACACCTTTACTGGGTTCAAATCTTAAGATCCAAATATGGGTGGGAGAAAAACAGAGGACGCACCACTTCAAACGCCTCGTACCTTTGGAAAAGCCTTTCAAACCTCTGGACGGAACTAGATATGGGAATTAAATGGAAGATTGGCAATGGTAAAGAAACCCGTTTTTGGACAGATCACTGGCTTGGAGACCTTGGACCTCTAGCGCGACTAGCCTTCACGCCCATTAATGATGAGAAGGAAAAAGAGACCGTCGCCAGCCTCACCACAGAAGGAGGGGACTGGAACTGGAACGCTTTCAAGCACCTACTTCCTTCAGATATAATCCAGCAAATAGCGCATATTGACCCACCAAGACCCAGTGCTGAACCAGACAAATGCTTCTGGCATATGGATAGCAGGGGTGCTTTTACTACAAGGTCAGCGTACCGGTTACTTAAACAAGATGATTGGGATGAGGCAAGCACCACCTGGAAACTCGCATGGAAATGGCCAGGTCCGCAGCGCATACGTACCTTTCTATGGCTCGTGCTTAAGAACAAGCTACTGACTAACCAGGTTCGAATGAGAAGGCACATGACCCAGGATGACACCTGCGAGATTTGTGGCGAAGCGACGGAAGACATAAACCACATCTTAAGAGATTGTCATATGGCTAGAAGCTGTTGGAACCTAATTATTCCCGGACCCTTCCAGCACCGTTTCTTTAACATCCCATTCGAAGATTGGCTACAGGGGAACCTCAAAGCTACAACCCCGAATCATCTTTGGTGCACAGTTTTTGGAACCCTGTGTTGGAAACTCTGGGAGGCAAGGAACAGGATTTTATTCTGTAATGAGTCAATCCGAAGCCACCGTCTTGTTAACGAAGTCTTCTCCTTAGCTCATCATACCATGCAGGCTAGAGAGTTCAGGACGAAGCTTCGTAGGATTTAGCTCTCTTTTGTTTCCTCCGTTTTTGTTGTACTGCCTTTGTATATATTTGAATAAAATATCTTTCATTCGAAAAAAAAAAAAGGAGACAATAAGCTAAATGACAATACCAAACCAAATATTAAATACTACTAGTAGATTCGTTTTATCTGTGTTATTAGTATATACACATTTATAGACGATGGAGACAAGAACTTTCACGTGCCCTCCAGAGGCATGTGATAATCAAGTGCGGGAAAGAGGAGGGAGCGTGAACGAAAGGAGACAAGAAGCTAAATGACAGCACCAAAACCAAATATTAAATACATTTATTTATTTTATCTCTACAAACAAATGGAAGGGAGGACTTTCAGCTTCCCATGGATTCCGAAGACATGTGACCTCTCACTGCCCAAGATCTATGTCGGCATGCTTAAATTGACCGGATTCTTGTTTTATTTTGAGAAGCTCATTAGTTATGGGAATTCCCAGTAAAGAAATTCAAGAGATAGCTATATTTACAGTGATTTGATTTGGAGCACAAGAGAAGTCTGAGTGAAAGAAATAAAAGAAACCCAGGCAAGGCACAATATTATTGTAATTGAAATTAATTGCAAACTTAGGGTGTACGATCACCTCCTCTCCAATTGCCGTGTTAAAAATTATAGATCTGACTTCTTCATGAACTTGAGCCCCAGTGCCAATGCCAGCATAGGATTTTGAAACTTCTTCTACTGCTTCTAAATTGAACCGTTTCATTTTGAGCCCTTGATTTCTGTGAAAATAAAATAAAACGAACTAAACAGGTGAGGTGAATTAAATCAAAGCGAATTAATTAAGTCTCTAAACTAAGCAACAATCAAACAATTTACTTGAAATTCATAACTATCTCTAAGTTTCTTGATTGAAACTGTGTATTGTGAACATGGACGCTCATTTTTTTTCTCTTCTTGAATGTATAAATTGGTGAGCCTTGATTTGAAATCTTTCGGGCGTGTATTTCTACTGTAGCTAATGCTTCTTCATTTCAAGGATAGATGGAGGGACATTATAGCTATGTGAGCGGTAAAGTACAACATACATTTAAATAGGTCAAAAGGATCTAATATAATTCAAATGATTAAAAACAAAAATAGAATGATGCGCATCAAGATATAATCTCAAATCATATCTTTCGTAGCTTATGGTATTGATTGCCACTTGAGGAACACAATGCCAATTTTGGTTGTCTACAAGTGTCCTTGTATCGTCATCAAACTCCACATGTAGCCTCTCGACAATATTAAGTATGACCAACTCTTCTAATTTGTGATGCGCATCGATCTACTCCCTCTTCCTGCTTATTGGTCGTGCTAATACTCCCTACACCATTATATATTACCTTTTAAGACCCAATTAATTTGTTTTGAGAGTTTAAAAAGGTTAATAAAATATCTTAAAATATTTACATTTATTA